ATAGCCAAGATTACCCTGGCTTCCTTTAAAGTAGGAGGCATGTTGGGTTGATGAGAAAATTGGTGTTGAGTGTAGATATAACGCGTCGCGTAGAAAAGTGCGGCGCTCGCTTATCCGCGGCGCTCGCTTATCAAACACGTTACCGACAAATGTATGTCCGGCTCCGCGCCACAATCTCTCCCGGATTACAGATCAAACTGCGATTTGATCGTCACCGCTTGCCGACGACTCCCGTTTGCCTCGTTGGTGTGTTTCTCTGGAACAAAAAATCCAGCTGGATGTACGTGATATTTTTGGTCTCTGGGATCTCGGCTGCGACAATCGTGCATGTCTTTCCGACTCCCAAGTTGTTGCAGCACTCGGCCATGATGAGAGCAATTCCAATGAACTTGGCACAAGACATGTTAGTTTCTCTAAGAACAATAGTTCAAGAGACGAAGATTAGGATTGACAAAGAGAAAAGATTGGAGTCCACAGGATGTCTGGGTTTTCGCAAAGTGGGATGAAGAGACGAGAACCCAGATAAGGACCGAATCGCGGTGGGATTAGAAGGCCAGAAACCTGCATGCCCATGGTGAGAAAGATGATGGCGGCAGCAGTAAAGCTGGACAAGATGGCAGTTTTTGGCGGCCTACCTCGGAGATTACGACCCAAGAGATTAGACTAGGCTACAGGCCATGCTGAGTCTCACGCCAATTTGGTTTATCGTCAGCAGTGATCCCATGCCGGTCATGATGAAGAAGCCGCCCAACGGTCAAGAAGCCAACTTTCTTACCGGCAGATCGAGCGTACGCATGGGATGCATGTACGAAGCGGAGCATGACAGCGACCTGCTCGCTGAGACTGTTGAGTTGAGCAAGGGTTGCGATGGACGAAGGTAAGGTAACCTTGTTCGACCTCTGAGAGATGTCTAGAAACCTTTTCAAAATTCAAGGAGTCCGTCCTGCCGTACCGCCACAAGCGGATGGGAGACGTGTAAGCACACCTACACTGCCGAACGCTGATTACATTAGCGAACTCGAGCTAGCAAATGCTGAGCTACGCGTTTGATTCTACAGTCCAGGCAGCGCCGTCCCGGGCCTCAAGGTTGAAACGCAACAGCGCTCCGATAGCCGCTGCACCCACTGAACTATAATTACTGCGGCGACAGTGTTCGCATAAGCGACCTAGAACACTGCTATTCTTAGGTTTTGGATAATGGAGGAGAGTAGTATAAAGAGAGTTCTGTTGTACTACTACCTGTATACTGCGGCAGGGCACCTTGCCTACACATTATCGGCGAAACAGCCATGCACTCCAGGCTGCTGGTAGACTCGGGGATCTCTAGAAGATGCGGTCTGCGCCTGCAGCGTGGCCACCGCGTTGGTTGGCTTGTACGTTCTTCCAAGGATTTGGGTCTGCCGCGGGTCTAGCTGCCCGTCCTCCGCCGGAAGGTGGTGGCTCATTGTGCCCTGCGGCATCACCGTTGTTGGGAAGCCTGTCGCTCACGCGCCTTGCTACACGCTGTACCCAGTCGAGCTGGCATTCCTCGAGTCTTGGCAATGTCTGCGGTCCGAGATAATCGTCCGGAAAAGTGGTCAGAGGTCGGACCGTAAAGAACTGTAGCAAAATTACGAGAAGCCCATATGCAGATCGTCAGATCCAAAGGTCAAACGCAGGCGGTAGTAACAATACTTGTCTGTACCCACCCATCGGTTGAAGATGGTCAAGCGAAATGTTGGGTGTTTTGGAACTGGCCTCAGCGGGGGTGGAAATCCCCTCCCTGCTCTGAATAAGAAAAGTGACGAGTTAGATGTTCAGAAGGCGACAGACCTGTCACCCCGCAACTGCTCAGTTCGTGATCTACTGAGATCCAGTTGTAGAGTGAGACAAGGAAATGGAGAGGAGTGGGGATAGAAGAAGATGCCAAAGGGGTTCGGTGCGCAAACTACTTATACAACAAACCGGCCAGCCCGGCTCGGCAAGGGGTGGTATGCAGGGAGGGAATCAGAGAAATGCAACGACCACTCGATAAAGAACTCTCGCAGAGAGCGGCGCGACCGTACAGTCGAGTATGCGTAACAAATTCCTTACCATACTGTTTTCCAATGACCTGCTCAATACAATGGCACGAATTGCCTGTTTACTACCTCCAGACATACCGCACCACTCCAACCAAAAGTAGCCCGAAAGAAACAGGCATACAAAGGAAACAACGGACCATATGCTATATTTTCCGAGCACGTACCGCGCTGACCATCGGTACCACAAGCGCCATGATACTGATCATTATCCACGAATTAAGAACAACAACGACACGGTAGTTATTCTTCATTACGGCGCGGCTGAGTGGTGAAAGACGATAACCGCAATGATGGGATGTACCGAAATGGAGAGGAACCGGCATGGGCCCATATAAACTGAGAGATGTGCTGCGCCAGACTCCAAATTCCCAGGGAAAGATGAAGAACCTGGGTTCCCGCGACAGTGCCCAGAGGTACGGTAGCTTTGGCCAGCTTCGATCAAACCGACGTAATCCGTAGACTGGATACAATTGCCAAGAAAGCCTGGGCAGCCTGAAGAGACAAGGCTTGCCACTCAGCGAAGAACGTTAGGCAACAAGCCCAAGAACCCCCCACCCAGAGCCTTCTGGTTAGTAGATCTTCTGCGTCTTACACGGCAAGTGATTCTCCTAGCACACGTGTTTCTTAGCTCTCCGGCGCTTGCTTTTAGTGTCTTGTTGGCCTTGCGGAACGCAGCCACCTCTGACCGAAGAAGAGCCACCTCGTGTATCACAGCCATCGTACCCTTGGTAAGCTGGTCCACAGCAGCCAGGAGCTCTGGCTGGCGTTTAACAAACCGATGGCCCCAGAACTGGCCGACAGGGGCGCGTTGCATGCGCGTAGTAGTTGGTTGGCCATATCTTCCACACCACACAGCCTTGGTGGAAAAACTCGTTTGAAGCACTAGCTCAATAATATATTGAACAATAGCCTTCTCTTAGAAATCCGTAAGCTGGCGCGACTCAGGGGTAGTACCGCGTGGGGACAAAGTGGACGAATGCAGGACCGGTGATCAGGGTTAGAGATGGGTTGGGGCGGGAACGAGACGCGTTCCGGGTGTTAATATTAGGAGAGAGATCTTCACTCTCAGTCCCGTCGCTCCCTGTGTAAGACTAAGCGCCTCGGGGTCCAAAATAAGGCCCACTGTCTACTCTCCTGGTAACCCTTCTCCCTGGCCGCCGCTCCTTTCCTCCGGTTCCTTCGGTCTCGGCTATCCGTGATCATGGTCACTAGCCACCTCCCACTCCTCGTCCTCCTCGTCTTTCTCGGTCTCCTTGTCCCCAGCGTTATACTTTTCGTCGTCGTTGCCAGGCTGCTGAATCGGTTCTGGTGTTGTGCATCGCTCTGCTTCTGCTCCCGGTGCTGACCGTAATGTTACGGGTTCGGGGGTTGCAGGTTTTGGGTCAGGTTCGGCCCGTGTATGTGTTGTAACTTCTTCGGGTGCCCGTTTGGTTGTAGTCTCGGGAGCCGCGGCTGTCTGAGTGTTTGGCGAGGTGAAGTTTCCCCCCACCTCCCCCTCTTCTTCCGAAGAGAGGGGATTGCGCAACCTAGAGGTGGAGCCGCCGATCCTAGCGGCTGGGTTGCGACGTTGTGCTCTTCTTAAACCCTGTGCGGAAGGTGCGTTTGCTATTCGACTTCGCGGAGGTCGAAAACGGGGCGGAACTGGAACCCGCTGTCTTATTGTCCTTCTCCTTTGTCACGGACGGAATTGAGAACCGTGCGGAAGCGGTAGAGCCATGAGTGTCGTCCTTCGCCATGAATGAACTGGAGAAAAAGATGGAAGATGAAGCGGGAGCCTTGTCTTTCTCCGTGGGCGGACTGGGGGACAGTGCAGAAGTAAAGCCGAGGGTTCTGTCCTTCGCCGCTGGCAACGGGACAAAGTCGAATTTGGGAGCAGCTTGTTGTACCTCTGGAAGCGGCCCTGCAAAGTTGAACTTCGGTAGGTTCTCGGAAACAGGAGCACTCTGGTCCACTTTCGGTAAAGGCGTGGCGGAGCTGGAATTGGGAAGAATTTGGGATGCTGGAGCAATTTGCTCTCCCTTCGACGGTGGCTCCGTCAATGGCATGGCAGAGCTGAACTTGGGCAGGTTTTGAGAGACAGCGGGTTTATCACCGGTGGAGAAGATGCTGGTGGTCGATGAGCCAGTCTGGAACAGATCTGCATCTCCAGCAGCGCTCTGAAGGTTGGAAGTCGTGTTCGTCATTGAAGCTGTCTGCAGTACAGCCTCCTCCTTGTCTTGCCCTGGCGCCGTTCCAGAAGGGTTGCCAGGAGTAGCAGGCTTGCTTGGTGTGTCGAGCTTGGTCGGCGCGTGAGGTTGACCGCCGACCACCGGAAATCTCGTGTCTGGAATCACGGTTTGCGTCAATGCTGACATGGGGAGCTTGTAGATGGGATTTCGGTCCGTCGTCGTTTTTGATGTCATTGGTGGAGGCTTGGGCAAGCGGACTAATATGTTTCGCCCTGGGTGGCTAGCCCATGGCACACGAATGCCTTTCCCAAAGATTTCCGGTCGCACTGACGAGACCTGAGGCGACTTGGTTTTTTGCTTTGCAGTTGCTAATGGCCTCCTCCTGGGCAGCAGGACTAGGCGGTTTGGCTTGGAAGAAGAATTCAGGGCTGTGGAGAACTGAGGTTGTGGAGGAGTTGGCGTTGGCTTCGCCGCGGTCGATTTTCCATTGAGAGACGATTGCGGACTCCCTGTCTGCTGAACTGGCTGGGAGGGGGGAGAAGATGGATTTCTCGAGCCTCGACGCTCAGTAAGGTCCCATAGCCTTTGCCGCATCTCGTCCACTTGGGCCGTTAATCTCTGTCGTTCTTGCCAGTCGTCCTTCAGAATCCCTTGGTAAACCTCCAGAAGGTCCAGGAGACGGTCCCTCTCTCTCGATTTCATATTATCAACAGGTAAGGGTTTCGAACCAGTGCCTATAGTAGTACCGGTTTTAGGCTCGGGCAGAGTCTTGGGTTCTTCCTGCTTTGTTGTAGAACGACTTCCCATCGGATATCGGGCTTTCCACAGGTCGATGAATCCCGAGATACGCGGGCGCTGTTCACGCAGTGCCCATTTGTGAGCATTACAAAGGATGGCCGAGAATTTGATGAGATCGAGGATGGCCGTCATGTCTCCTTTCCAGATGCACATCATTCTCTGCTAAGGTTTAGCGAAACATCATGCATAGCTGGGTCTTCCCAAGAAAGGGGCTCTCACAAACTTCGCCGCGTCGTCAACCGACGGTTTACACGAGTACGTAATCCATACTCTTGCCATCTTCTTGACGGTGGTAATGGCCACGACAGGCGGAACGTGCTCGTTTGCCTTTCCCTGGATACCCGCGGGGAGAGGCTTGCACAGACGCTCGAGCATCATGACGGCCGCCGTCGATGCGTTGGCCGCCTCATGGTGACATTGGGTCTCCGTGCCGCCTGGCTTCCCGTGTTGGACAATCAGCCATGGAAAGCAAACCCAATCCCGGTCGGGATATGTTGCTCTCTTTTCCGACGCCAAGGCACAGGACGCGTCGGACTCTAGCCCGTGCTGAGCCAGGTGCTGGAGCTTTCCGTACGACAGGTTCTCCTGGATGCTGTCTTTGGGGATGTTGTAGACAGTGTAGGAGGACACCCAATCTGGCTTTGGCAGGGGTAGCGCTCTGCGATCTTCCTGCCGAAAACCTTCCTGTTTGAAGAGGCTCCAGAGCCGAGATAAGCTGGTGCTACTAGGGGAGCGGTTTGGTAAGAATCATATGCGATCTTGGGCAGCTTCATCTACTTACCATTTCAGGTACTGGGTGTAATAATAGATGCTAGTTTCCACTGTCAGCATCGAGTATACTAAGCCGTTGTGTGACTGAACTCACGAGTCTGATTCCTCGTCCGCTTTACCCGTCTGGTAGAGCAAAGTATCGAAGAAGTATTTCAAGAAAAACGGTTCCCAGTTGCAGTCCCCGTCCTCGTCGAGTTTTTCGGCCTTCCGCTTCATGTCCTTCAGTTGAGTCAGACGGAAATTAAAGGAAGCACGCTCAGACTCATAGACGTTGAGGGCTTTGGCAATGTCATTGAGACGGCGAGACTCGTCGTCGGTTGACTGGAACTCCAGGTGTTCTGGAGTGTCGCGGCCGTAGTCGAGTAACGCGTTTCGCAGCCCGTCTATATGATGAGGGAGCGCTCCTTTCTGGGCTTGATTCTGGTCGATTAAGATGCCATTCCGCCATAGATCGAACTTTGTAATTTCGGACATGTTGACTTCAAGGTGTCTCGTCCGTGGAATCCACTGAAGAAACATACGGGTACAGGGAAACATCAAGAATGGGGAGCCCCTCCTTTGATATGAAGATGAAACAAGGCTGACCAGCTGAAACTGATGCGCTAACCCCATCTCAATGCGCCTGGGCGCCTACGGCTTGGCACATCTGCACGGTGAGGGGATTGCCAAGCAGGCTGTCGGATCTGCCGCGCTGGTCCCTACTAGAAGCAGGACGCGGTCGCTCGCGGCCGCCAACGGGGTCCCGGTGAGTCGGGGTCTCTAACCTGACGAGTGGCAGCAGCCTACGGCCCCGGACCGTGTCGAGGGGGGCCTTGGGTCTCCGAATTGGCGGCGGGGAGTAGTGGTTGCTTCTTATTGTCAGCTCCGCCGGCCTTCCTGTACCCCTGCAACGACCGCGTCTGCATGGTCAACTTCGGGAGGAAGTCGCGCACCGTTTTGGTCCTCCCGGAGGATCTTGAACCAGCCGCTGGCGGCCTGTGATAGGAAAAGACGCTGGCACTGCACGCCCTTAATCCACAGGAGCTGCTCATCGTGGGACGGCGAACCGGCCGGCCGCCTGCCGCCCTTCAGCGGGTTCTGCCAGCCGTGCGACTTACCGAGCATGTTCCTGACGCTGGATGCGCTTCACGTGCTGGACGACATACAGGCATGCGCGGCACTTGAACCCCCCTGACACGTCTCAGAAGGCTGCATGGGTGCAGCCAAAGGTAGGAAGTTCAGGGGCCGGTTATGTGGGGCGAAAGTGGGACGAAATTGGGAAGTCCTTCCGAATCACGGGGAGAGATGCTTCTAGTATGGCGCGTGGCATGCCACTCAAGACGGAGCCCCCACAACCGATTCTTCCGGCCGGTCGTGCTCTGCTGCCGGGTCTGTTGCTACGGCTTTCGGCCGCCGGCTGAAGAATTGTCGCATTCCGCCGCGGGAAGGGAACGTGCGGCTCGGTCCGTCAGATCGCGATCCACTGCTCTACACGTGTACGTGCGGGATTTCAAAAGGGGGCTTGGGTACAACGATCCAGTGGGGTAGGTCCTCCTATTCTCCTAACGCAGGACAGTGTATTTTAAAACGAGCTAATTTTAGCACTAGCTACGTGACCTCACAGACTCGAGAATTCGTTGGTTGTCACGATTTGACTAACAATAGGTCGCATGGCGGAAGGCCGTTCTCGGTGGTTGCGATGCGCCAGTCGGCCGGGAGGTTGCACTCGGTAAATCAGTTGGCGAGGTGGTACTGCGCGGCTAAGATGATGAACGCAGGGATGGCCCAGCCAAGGGTATTGACTTCCAGGATCACCATCGCCCATTCGCGGTTGCCGGGCTAGGCTAGTTTTGCGTTCCTAAGGCCGTCCGAGGTCGTAACTACTATGCCCGCGAAGATAATGGCCATTATGAACCCAGTTTCGTCGAAGTTATAGACATCGTCATCCACGATAACATATTTGGCCTCGGTGTTCCATATAAGCGTAAGCCACTTGCTAATAACCTATGGATCTTCGCACTTGGACCTCTGGTGGTCGTATCTACTCCTAAAACGCGTACGAAGCTGTGGCTGTAACGGGCTGAGCCCGTAAAGGCCTTGGCAAACTCTCGGCCAAGACTCGAGATTCGGTGGACTTCTATCTTGTTCGAATCGGCGCACAGGCCAAGGATGTGGTGGTATAAGACGGCAAATATCTTGCATAGCCTTTCACTCTTTTTCTTCTCTCTCCATTCGAGACAAACTCGTAGAGTCGTCACCAGCTAGTTGCAATATACTCCTGGGACCGTTACAGTGTGATGGGCTGAGCCCATGATGGCCTCGGCAACCCTCGGCCGTGGTATCATGATAACGTCATCCTGAAGCAGGCAGTGTCTGTGTGTTCCGGAGCATATAAGAGCTGCCCTCTCTTCCTGTCATCTAGTTCTCTCTTTTCTTCTTCTCTCTCCATTCGAGGCAAACTCGTAGAGTCGTCACCAGCTTAGTTACAATATACTCCTGGGACCGTTACAACAGTGGCTGGCGTTTGACGAAGTTATAGGCCCAGAGTTTACTAGTAGGAGCCGCGCCGCGTTCGCGTAGCAGTTGGTTGGTCATATCTTCCACACTACGCAATTCTGGACGAAAAGCTCGCGCACATAGCTCGATGATGTATTGAATAATAGCTTCCTCTTCTAACTGAGTAACGTATATTATCAGCGAGTGAGGTGTATCAGTGAGTGAGGCACAGTAACAGATTTTGCTGGACCTAAACGCAAACCGATAGAAAATTTTAAGGTCGACCACGTGACAGCTAACAATATTTGTGGGCTTTTTTGCACTTCTGCCCCAACAAATCTGTTACCGTGCCTTACTCGCTGATATAGAGAACTTGTCGAAACCGCTACGAGGCAAACGAAGGGAAAATGGTCAGTGGTCGCAGAGTGTCACGAGGATGTCAATTTTTTTTGGTTGTTCCTGATGTTGATTGTGTTCTGTGTCCTGTTCTCAACTGTCCGATGTTCCAGACAGCCTCCAGGGTGTCTATCACCAGCCACATGTGGGTCCGTCTTGGCACCCCCTGAATCAGGGTTCACGTTCCAACAGAACTCGCTGATAATATACGGATCCGTACGTTAAGCTTGTTCGATTTGGGCGTGGTGTTGCATCGTGCAGGCTTGCAGGCGCGTCGGCGTCCTAGCGTCTTACGGGAGGCCCTGTGAATCCTTGCTGCAGTTCGTACGCTGAGATTCTTGTTATTTTTAAGAGCTTGGAAAGCCAAATTATCTGGCCTTCTTTTGAAGTAGATGGCATCTTGAGTGGTAACGTGTTTTATCAGCGAGTGCACCATATCAGCGAGTGCACCACTGGTAAGCGCTGCACAGACACTTAGTCGAAGTACTAACAGCTTATTCCCCAATTCCCGTTGTTAGTGCTGCACCCAAATATATATGCAGCCCTTACCAGTGGTGCACTCGCTGATATGGTGCATTCGCTGATAAAACACGTTAGAGGAAATTTGTTGTTGAAAGGATAGTATGATCCTTCCTTTCACCATTGCAATTCTTTCACCATTGCATACTTCTGGCCTTAATTCGAGCCGCAGTCCAATGGCGCAGACATTTGCAGTCCAACCATCAAGCAACCAACGTTCACTCGTTCTTGCCACCTAGGGACAAGTGCCGCCAAATCGGAATGATAATGGATTTTGTCCGATCCGGAACCAGCAGAGAACTATGGAGCATTTGGGAACCGCGTCTTCTCTCCTCTGATCATTAATAGTGTATGATTCCAAGTATGGCAGTATCTACTCGTCTATGCTCCCGGATAGGTGATCATCAATGCGCCTTGTTTAATGCCCAAACCTCCTTCTTTCACCCGCAACCGTCAATCAACATCCTAGGTACAAACGACCCCCTTCCATCTCACCCTTGACTTTGTCCCGGCCGAACAAACGAAAAGCCTCAAGACCGCCCGTCCAGTTGCTCAAGCGACAGTGCTGTAGGTGCACTTGACCGGGTTGGCGTTGGTGACGGTGCGGGCGGTGAAGCCGACGCAGCCCTCCTGGTTGGCGGGCTTCTCGATGCCGACGTTGACCCAGACGTACCAGGAGCTGTCGGAGGTGCTGGGGCAGGCCAGGAGGGCGTTGTTGTTGAAGGTGAGGTTGTCGTTGGCGTCGACGGCCCAGCCCTTCAGCTCCAGGTTGCCGCCCGGGGCGGTCGCACCCTTGTTGAAGTACTGCAAGTTGCCCTGGCCTAGAGGGGTTGATCGGGTCAGTAAATGGCATCGGTAATGTAACGATATCGTTTTGGGGTCCTTACCCATGCCGGAGCGGTCGACGAGGATCTGCTGCACCTTGTCCCCTTCGCCGTAGAGGTACAGCTCACCATCCTTGATTTCAAAGATGGCGTCGGGCCTGGCGTTTCCGTCGGCGCATTGCGCGTCAAGCTTGTTGTTGGGAAGGTTCAAGGCGAGCTTGTTCTGAGAGGCGCCGACTTTGGCAAAGTGGATGGGAGACGCGGACCGAAGAGACATGATGCCAAACTTGCGAGTCGGAGCCGGGCACGAGCCGCCAGTAGGGGCAGCCGAGGCCACAGCGGCGAGGGCAGAGAGGAGAACGGTGGTGAGCTGCATTTTGATTTAGTGTGAGGTTTGAGGTGTAAGAGTGAGGTAGATATAATGCCGCAGTGGTTGAAGGGCGTGGAAATGGTGTTTTGAGCTCGAGATGAGGGAGATTGATGGATTGTCGGATGACTGTTTGCTGGTGAAGACTGGAGAGTGAGAACGGCTCAGTCCTTCGAGTTATGCATCTTTATATCAATGGCGTCTGGCGCCGTTCTCTGGATCTTGATATCAACATTCCAGCGAGTGGCAAAGGGGATCTGCGGTTTACCCGTGCACTGCCCAGCAACGAGATACGAGAAGCAGCAGTCATGTTCGGGGTACAGTGCGATGTTGAGATAAGATTGGCGGAGGATTTAACCGAGACCCACTTGGACTCGTATTTGCCGGCTCCGTACTCTGGGGTCGCCGCGTGTCACGCCAGCTCCAACACCTCGGGACCAGCGAAGCATTCCGGTGACATAATACGTGGATAACCGAGTACGCGCTCTGGATAATACGATCCAAGACCTGGACTCAGGTTCCTCACATAGTAACGTGGTGCGAATGCCCAGGGACGTTTACGAGTATGCGTTCTCCACCAATGTCACCATCGTCCACCGCTTTTTACTATTCACTCAGTACTTAGGTAGTCCGAAGCTTCGAAAGCGGCAATCGCGGCTGGCCGCCAAATGGCCCCGGCGCCCTGACGAGTACCATTTCTGGGTAAGTGATTTAAAAGTCTTAGAACAACAACACTCACATTAAAGCAACTCGTGTGAATTCGCGTGGTGGCCTATTAATGCTTCTAAAAGTCGGCGAGAGTGGACCTGAGATACCTCGTTCAGCAATGCGTTGCGTTGCACGTGGTCATCCGGATTTCGCCATTTCAGCTGCTACGGAGATTCAGATAGGCCTCAGGTACCTGGGTCGGTGAGAACAAACCACCCCTGATTTGTTTTTTTGGCGTGGCACATGGCAGGCGTTTTACAAGACATAGGAGGGTGGGAGTAGGACGAGGAGTGGGAGTCTGGGGTATAAGATAAAAGAAGATAAAAATAAAGATAGAAAGAGGCTAAGTTAGGAACCTGAAAGAGAAAAGACAGATATTGAGGATCAGGTAGGCACTGTGCGGCATCTGGGTTGTTTCTCACTATGCCGATCAATGCCTTTATGTTTTCCATTTGACCGGCGACAGTCAAGGTGACAATGATGAACAAACAACTTGCTCTTGTTATTTTCAACAATCTGAATCTCTTCCAGTGCTGAATGAGCAAGCGGTAGATAGTAGCAGTTTGATATTTTGACAAAGAACCTCAACCAGCAACCCAATGCTGTACACCTCTCATTTTGCTCATCCCCGACATACTTGAACAGCAATTCTACGACTTCTAGCACTTCGTTGCCTAGAGTCATAGGGAGACTTGCTATCATCGAAGATTCCAGTATTCACCACCAAGCATCAAAAGACTCCCGCATTACTCGCAGCAAGCAAACTGAGTCTTCGCCACCCCAGCCCTCCGGGCAGATAAACAAAGCAAAAGTTAACACAGTACCCAAAACAACGCAAAGACGAAGGGGGCCAAGCACGGTGCATACGAGCCGCTAATCTGTGGTTGTCAAGTCTACAACTGCGAGCGCGAATATGACCTTCCTGGAGTTTGCCTTACCTGCCAAGTGAACTGCGCGGTAAAGCCCTCCACGTTTTGATTAGAAGGTTCAACTAGCGCTGACGAGCTATCGTTTCTGGGGCTCCATTTTAGATAAGTCCGTCATCCTCTAGCTTTCGTCATCGACGAATGTGGTCGCAGCTCGCATAGATATACAGTTCTTTGCGAACTGGACCTGAGGAGAGTGGACGATTGTCCCCTAGACGAATGTGCTGAAATGAAGGATGGGGTCAGATCTCACGGGTCATAGTGGCAGGGAGCTCCGTTCGGTCTATTAGAAGGGCATCCCGCCCAGGGAGGCTGCCTCCTTTCCTCTCTCTCTACGCAAGCAATGCACTCTGTTCACTTGCATCTTGTTGCTCTCAACAGAATGATTGCTAGATACTGATTGTTTTCTTGATTCTTGCCCCTATTCACCATAACAATTCTGTAGAGAAGCCCTCAACGCCCTTTGCTACGCCCCTCTCGAACGTCACTCTGCGGTTGACTTGATGCTTGAGAGTTATGAATGGTCCCTGAACAAGCACGATCCAGTGTGCAGATGCCAAATGCCCTCCCTTATTTAGTTATCTAGTTAGCTGTAAATATCGCGTGACAGCAAATATCTCGCTTTTCACCAGCGGCCTTCTCGCGCACGCAGTCTGGTGTCCACAAGTCCAAGACACCTACCCGTATCTGGTGAGCCAGCGACTGAGGGATCGTCTCCTCATGGAAAAAGTGATGCTTGTGATATAAACTGAGAACCTGGACATCGAAAGCATCTGTATGCAAGGCTCGAAACAGCGGTGCCCACGCGAGCGGGCGTTCAACAAGATCCCAACCTACATTTTCCGCCTGCATGTCCCGCGCACTGGAGGGATCACTACGACTACAGAAGTCGCTTCAGTGGCATACAACTTCAGGGAGAGCACGCAAGATTTATTCCAGCTCCCGCCCAAGGAGGCGGCTGACCTGCTGGGTAGTCAGCTCGAATGGAAGCGTGGAGCACATCTGTCGAATCGGGTCTCTTGATCCAGTTTGCTACTGTTAGTGCTTCAATATGGGGCTGTACCGACATATAACGGACCGTGATAGGCCCAGCATGTCACAAACACACGTCCTCGTCATTGATACGCGCATGTTCCCCAAAGGCGCCTTCATCAAAGACATGGAAGCGATTGAAACATTCTATCTCTACTCGGGAGAACTACGGCAAGTACGTCGACGGAGATTGTCGGGAAAGTACTTTGGAGAGTATCTCTCGCAAGGGAGGCTCGATGTCAGCGGGCAGTGCCATCAGGCATCAATGCAGCAACTCATCGACGCTGGCCTCTTCGCGCTGTGCCCCAGACTAGACGACAAAGACCGGTGGGAGCGTTGGGCGTTGCCAGTCCTCGACATCCGAAAGGAAATCAAGGGCGCATCCATACCTGCCGACAAGGAGGCAGTTCGACGAGCCATCGCCGTAGCCCAGGTTTGATTCGGCAGCCGCTGGGGGGGCCCTCTCGCCGTAATGCTGCTATTTTTGCAGCCGCGCCGACCCTCACGACAAGACCCTCCTCGACGGGTTCCGTTCCATGTTCGGCGGTGAGTGGCACGACTGTCGTGGTGGTTGGATTCCATCTTTCTCTGAGTGTTGGCTAACGAATATAACATATAGATGAAGAACTGGCCGCGTTGGATATTGCGAATATGGAGTTTGATTCCGAGTCGGAACGCATGCCCGAGATGAAGGTATACGAGGACATGATGAAGGCAATCCATCATTGTCACGCCCAAGCCGCTGTTGTTAGAGGCGTAGGAGACGCCGACGGGTTGGCAGATCGCTCTAAAGGCATGAAGATGTCTGTTGGCTGCTGAGCCCGCGGCCAGCGGTGGCGACTGTAAAAGACAGAGTTTGTCACACTGTCATCGACGGAATACTAGAAGCGTAGACCCCTCTGATGTCTCGCAGCTAATAAATGTCTGAGGGTCATAGTCGTTTTGCTTGCCATCGTCGTCGAACAGGTCGGCATCCTGGGGTAGCTCTTCAATTGTGAGAGTCTCCTCCGAAAACAGATCAAAATTACCGATCTCATGCATCAAAAGATATCTGATGCACATGTCTAAGATGCCTGCGTCCAGACACTCGGTGCGTTGCAGAAGCCGAGCCTCGTCTGTCGCAGCTGGTGTTGCGGCCCATTCCTTGATGATAAACTCCTTGACCGACTGGTGGACAAGTTTGACCTGGCGATTCGTCTTGTCCACGATGTCGATACGAGCAGCGAAGGGCCGGATCAGCTTGATGACTCCAGGTAATCCACCAGCTTGGCGAGTGCATCCACCGAGCTGACCACCGTCTGGCCGCTCCTAAGGCCACAGCCCCACCCAGTTCCATCACGCTTAGCGGTTTTTAGGCAACGGCTAGCATTTCCAAGCCTGTAGCGGCAAGTTTCTGGTTTTCGGGCTCGTCTTTGGTGTGGCGCGAGAAGACGCTTAGATAGAGCTCTGACAGTTGTCTGGGGTGTGGTAGCTTTTCAAGAAAATCTCGCATAGCATCAAACGTATTGATTTCGCCGGCTTCGATTAGTTCGACGGTCATTTCTGTTCATATGGCGCTTCCCTGCGCCAGATGGGAAAGCGTCTCTGTTAAGAGTGCTTTGATGTCGTCGGGCAGATCCAACCGGGACTCGACCGTCTTTTCAACAATAAGGGCGTCTCGTGGCGTCTGGAACCAAGGTGATCTTTCTTGCTCACCTCACTCATTTGCCTTCAGAAGCACCAGCGCGGCACACGCCACCGTCGAGTACGTACACAGTAACACAACTACTAATGATCCCCGGCTAGCATCGTCTTTGTCCACGACTTGAATGGCGACCGTGAAAAGACATGGACCGCGCACGATACCTCCGAGGCCTGGCCCAGGGCCCTCCTCCCATCCGAGCTTCCTACTGCGCGTGTCCTTACGTTCGGGTACGATGCATATGCGGCGGACTGGCGAGGAGTGGTGTCGCAGAACCGGATTGGAAACCACGCGTGGAATTTGCTGTTGTCGCTTGCGACGTACTGAGAGAGGGACGACACGGTGGGAGCCTATATGACCTGCGGATGGTCAGCCGCGCTGACGGAAGCAGAATGAACGACCAATTATATTCGTCTGCCACAGTTTAGGCGGTTCAGTATGCGAGGATGTACGGTCCCTGCTCTGGTTCTGGAGAACTGCGCTGATACTTGCAGCAGGCGTTGGTTAGGTCGAGAGAGCGACAAGAGCGAGGCGCGTCTTCAAGCCATTCGTACAACCAGTCTACTACCATGCCAAATTCGGCAACCAGAACAGCAGGTTCTGTACCATCTTTACTTAAAGATCCCCTTGTTGGCCCTGGTTCGGGATGATTCGTCCAGGATGTCGTCGATGAGAATGACGAGACACTGCGTCGGATAGAATTGTCCCAGCAGGATGAGTTCTCCCCTTGACTGGGGGACGCAAAGGCCGGCGGGGACGGCCGGCATCAGAGGTGCAGTCACCTCGTTCATGTCATCACGCATTCTGAAGGGCTGGCCGTATTGATTCTCGTCCAGAAACAGCGCGAAGCACTTGTCGAATGTCTGAATACGGCGGAGCCCCTGGTGTGCTCCATCTCGGCGATAAGCTCGTGATTACCCGGCCCGCCGCGGTCACCCTCGCAGTATTGTTGGAAAAGGGACGTGTTCGCGCGGTTCCACTTGAGGTTGAGGAGGAAGTCGAGTTCCGAGTCTGCGATGTCGCGCGGGTTGCACTCGGGGATGAACTTATAGACTTCGCCCAGCGAGACATCCGTTGGGTGTCTCAGCACGACGCCCTCTACGGCGCTAGCCCTCAGGCATGCCGTACGCTCCGTCGCATCAAACGACTGCCAGAGCATCTCAGTCGCCGCCTCGTGCTTCTTGTGTTTTTCAGACGCAGTTGGTTTCACCAACGGACTAAAAGTGCTGCTAGGAACGTTTCAGGAACAGATGCATGAGGAAAAAAAGAGACGAAAGAGGAAAGGCTGCTTACTCCCC